TAATAGTAGTATATATATATATATATATATATATATATATATATATATATATATATATATGTCTGAATATATATAGTGGCCTAATTTGTACATTTCTAAACGTATGAAGAAATCATTATAAAATGTGATATCGTTTTACATTGTTGCGATATTTTTCTATAGACGGTTATCAATTCCATAAGAAGGTTACGGTATCAATTCCATAAGAATCTCAACCATATTCTTACAAGATTAAACAGACATGTTTGCTTTTGTTATTATTATTAGTAATAAATGTAAGTTGTAACAATGCGATATCTTTTTTAATGGTAGGATATCTCGTGAGTGACTAGTTTCTCATCTTCTAGGTAGAAAAGAGCCGAAGACGAAGTCTCGCGGTAGATCCGTTTAACCATCAGAAGAGTAGTAGGTACTCGTCTCTGGTCGCCGTCGGCCTCTGATTGTCCTTTATTGGGTTAAATTGAACTTCCTTCTCGTGATACGCGGCTCGCATCAACTCACTCGCTCTGAGTAGTTGCTTAGCTCTTAAACATCTGTGTAAGTACAGGGTGTGCTTAAAGTATCTCGATTTGTCTTTGTCTGCTTTGCAAGTAGACTTCCGATCTCCGATTTAAATATTCACATATATTAGTCGGCTTTACCACAGACAATCACAGACATTTCATAATTAAAAATATTCCATTACGTTGTACCTCTCTTGTCTAAAAATTTTTGTTTTCCTATTATTGTTCTTTAAATTAATTTCAATATTTATTTAATATTTACACACACACACACACATACAAATTATTTCTTACATATCTTTTAGAAGGAACGGCTATTTAAATATTTATTATATGTACAAATATTTTTAAATTTGCTACTTGCTTGCTATAATCTTGAATCATACAGTGATATCGAATCACCTTGTATATGGCTGAACCGACAAGTCGTACGAGTTTAAGAGTTAAGAGTTTGGGTTTGCGCTACGCAACAATTCGCGAGGGGGCGAACCTCGACTCAGGAATTCAGAGCGGGTAAATACGGTGGGAGTCTTATTCTTACGTGTGGAGAACGCATTCCGTGCGACCTGTGAACTACATTTAACGTATTGTGTCATCAAAGCTATCGCTTCTCTCAGATATAAAATATCAGATTTTTATTAATACAAGGATGATGAAATATTAGGAATATATTAGCTGACTATTACTTCCATAATTTTTCACAAGACAAAGTGTCGATGTTATATATTTTATTATGTGAATATTTTGACATTTGATGCTTATAGATGCTTAAAATATTTTCTTTCTATCCTTCAAATAACAAAAATTGCTTCTAAAAATAATATATTTTATATATTATACTTATTAAAAAATTTAATTTTTAATAAATATAAAATATTAGAAATTTAATATCATATGTATACATGTAATATAAAAATTATAATTTATCAATTTTAGTTTTGTTACATATACATTATATTTATTTATATTATAAATAGTAATATCTATAAATAATTTGCGATTTATGATATATATAATGCTGTCATATAACGATCGGATTATATTGATAGAATTGTATTTTCCAGATATCTAACGTTGTCGGTTGAGAATCTCTGCTTGAGGGAATCGTACTGATAAGAATGAATTATGCAGATGAATGTTGCGGCGATGTCGCCGATGTATCAAACCGCCTCAACTAGCTCATTCTCCTTCGTTATCTATTCATTGACGAGCCCGACGTGCGCGACGTGATCGTGGACCAGAAATCCGGACTGTTCCCATGTTCCACTTATAGCATTTGGTCCAATCGCACGCGTCTGACTTTAGACGACGTCTGATAGCCCCAGAGTCAACATTACTCTCGATAACGATCGCGCGCAAACATTTCTATATTTATACGTTGAAAGCTCTGCGGGCAACTGGATGTGCCCGCTCCTTCGGATTTGTCGTTACTAATCGTGCCATCAAAGCCTTCCCGCTATTTCCACAAGTGTATTTGCATCGTTCACTTGGATATGTCAAGTTGACGTTCATTAAACGTTCCTGGAGAAGCTCGCTCTGGTACCGCTACACCGTCTGGTAATACGCACATTTGTCGCGATAGATATCTAACAACCTCTGAATAAATCAGCGATTTCGTGGGAAGGCCATTCTCATTGACATACATATATTGCCAGAAATGCGTAGTCATTATACATAAAAAAAAATTACTAGCATGATGAATACAATATGTCATTACACTTCTCACGCACAATATAAATTTGTACTAATTATAAGGCTCAAAGAGCTACCAGAACGAGGAACGAGGATGTCAAAAGAAGACCGATTTCGAGGTGACGATAGATCATTAGGCAGTTGACTTGATTTAAGTAACGAAGGCTAATCCTCTAAAGTTAATAACCTTCCTGAGAATAGAAGCCGCAAGGTGGTCAGCTTGGTATTCGGCACCGTTGCTAGTCGCCAGCGAGGAAACGGCGTCGCCCGGCTTCGCCACGGAGAACCCGGTAAGCCATGACGAGGAAGGCCAGGGGTGGACGAGGGGCAACTTAATGACGCCGCATCCGGGAGTCGCCAGGACATTGTACCTCGCAAAAAAGGACCTTATAACGCGTCTACACAGCTGGACCCGCATACTACGCTCGTCCGTGCTCGAATGGGAGACCCCGATCCATTAACGGGCCGGCGCGAACATTAATAATCCGCGCCTTCTCGCCCGGATTGCTGGTGCGGACGCGCGAGCTGCAAGGTGGTGGCAACCTTGCCCAGGTGACGTAATGGTAGCCGATCCGCGGCGTATCGGCTTCCTGAAGCGGTCTCGCGCGGTAGCCGCGTCTTTTGTGCCACGTCAAAGCTAATCACACTTTGTGATTTATCCAGATGGAGTCAATAAATCAGATTCGGGAATGCCATGCTAGATTAGGCCCGGTTTTTGTCGAGCCGCTGAGTAACAGCTGATGACGAGTGAGAGAGAGCGCAGGTTGAAAGTCGATATGTATGAACATAATTGAAGCTGCATAAATATTAGAGAAGTACGAGGAATTGACATGCGTGTTAAATAAAAACACTTTTACCTTTTACAAAATGTATTTTTATTATTTAATTATTTTTCAATCATAACGTTACACGTTACGATTGAATTATTGAAAATGGTGAATTGAATAATTTTTTAAAAATGTAAACGTGTAACTCTCGCAAATGTTTTAAATTTTAAATTTTATATCCTTCAAAGTAAATAATTCAGAATTGATTATAAAAATTGGCGATGGATGAACAAAAAAGAGTGCATAAGCTTTCTAATAATGTTGGACGAATTTGTAGATGCTCTCGCCATGTAGGTCCACGGGATCGAGCCTGGGTTGATAGGTTCGATTTCAAAAAAGCATCGCCCTCCCGCAGCGCGAATCCCCGTTCATCCATTCATCCAACCGCGAGTTACGTTGTCTTCTGCCGTGTGCTGAAAGAAGAAGACGAAGTAGAATGAAGAAGAACAAGAGGCGGTGGAGAATAGAGCGTACAATCACGATGAGTGGCGGCCGTGAGGTGCGAGCTGCGAGTGGAAAGGCTCCTGGGCTGCCAACCTAATAAAGCAATTTGTCACGGTTGTCGTCCGAATGCCAGCCATACATTAACACACAATCTCGCCTCCGAGAGAGCCGAGCCATCATCTTCTTCTTTCCTCGCTAGACAATCTCTCTTCTTTTAGTCTCTTCGATTCCTCCATATCCACAACTTTCTCCTTACGCGCGTTCCCGATAATCCTGATCACGAGAATTTATCATATTAAGACATTACGAAATCGAAAAGAAATGTTAAAACATATTGCGACAGTTATGAAGCTAATGCGAAGATTTAAAATAAATAATGATAAACAATCACTATAAGATATCATGATTTTTACGATGGAAAATTTTACGATTTGAGGAAAGAAATTCTAAATATAGCATATCAAATCATTTGCTGCATTGTGAAAAGAAGGATGCAGGAGCTCAAATCACATTTGTCAATAACCCCTACTAACTTTTCAGCGGACACATAGGTGACTGAGAACAAGCGCATACTATTTTCTTCACGTCCGCTCAGTACAATGTCCGCGGATTATTACGCACTTTTTGCGCGGAATGAGAGACCCTAGGACGATCAAGGCAAAGGATGGGACCTGACTTCCTCGGCGACGCTGTAAAAGCGAAGACGTTCTGCAGGTTCTTGCTACTGGGAAGAGGTGCGGGACACATGTGATTGATGGATCCTCTCTACGAGTGGTCCATGGCGAACCAGATGGGACTTCCTCTCCTCCAACGTGCACTACCTCTCTCTTTCTTTCTTATTCTTTACTTTTGTATTTTTCTTCTTCGTCTTCGTTTTCTTCTTCGCGAACGCCTTCGCATATGATGTGCCGCACGGCTTTCTAATCAAGAAATATTGGTCACACTCAGGTCCCGTAGCTTAGGAAACTCGACGGACATTTCCGGCAAGATCGACGAAGATGCTAGGAGGAAACGAGAAATTATTCATAATTTTTGTCTGCGATTCTGTATATCTAACTACAGATACGTACAATATAAAATAGGAAATCATGACGAAGATATAAAATGTTAATCAAGAATTAAAGGGATGGATAATCAACCAGTACTCGTCAACCGTAAATAATTTTATGAGCGTAGGATGATAAAATTACTTCTCTCTACGAAAGGTATTTTTATCTTAAATATAAAACTTTAATCCACTAGATACATGTCTTCAGGATTTTATCAAATAGCAGGTTAATTATAAAAAAAATCAAGCAATCGTTACTTGACTTCTGTATAGAAATCGACTGGTTCTATACAACGTACTGATCGCCAAATCGCATTTATTCAATTTCTTGAGAGGAAGTTACCGATCCACCGTGGCTTTCGTCTCCTCTTCGGCGACGACTTTGGATCTTGAGCGAAGTGGTGCACACGCGCAAACGCGTTCGCGTATGCATACATCATGCTGCGTGCATGTGCGCGCGCGTGTTTGTGTGTCGTGGGGTTAATTGAATCAAGCAGCACGCAACCAGCTCTGTATACACTGCCGGGTCATCCGAGGTCAAATCGGTAATGGACTGACCCTTAATTCACCATGTGGCCGACCACTGAACGCCGATACATCGTCGCTCGTTCTTGGACATGCGACCCTCCTAAGCACTCGATGACCTTGAACTCGGAAGACCGGACGATAGACATCATGGATCCACGACAACTTCGACGGCACGAAACCACCCCGTAAGCCGCGTCGAAGCTGTCCGCTCGTCACGGCGCTATTACTTCCGCATAGCTCCTCGCGTGCTATTTGAAGACATAAAAATGGCCGGTTTCATTGAAGAAGCGGCCTCAGCGCGATTATTAGTAGACTTTTGATAATTATGATTGAGAGCCGGCACTTAGCCGTGAATGCGCGACGTACAGATTTTCTCGAAGCCTGGTGATTGATCCTCGGTTTAAGGAGGGAATCGTGTGGTTGCAATCGTATGTTCATTATGCGGCAAAGTCGCAGGATTGGTCGCAGGAACAGGTATTTTGAATGGTTATGGAATGGAAAAAGCTGTTAGGATATAAGCGCTTATAAAATGAATATTTCAGATATAAATGAGAAGCTAAAGAAAATGATATAAGCAAACGATCATTTTTATAGATTATGTTATACATTATTAATTTATATATTGTAATTTATATATTGTATTTTATATACATAAATATCTTAGTTATTAAGAATATAAGAATGCTAATGTGACAATATGAGAAAGTAACTTTATATCGATCAAGTTATTTGCTGATCAGAGTAGTATTATTATTAGCACGAGCGAGTGCGAAGCGAATTCGGAGGTCGGTCGTGGATCGATGAACTTAAATCGCTCTCTCGTGTCTCGTCTGCAATTTGCGAGAGGACCTCTTAATTCGATGTGGTTTTCTGCGCTCACCAAGCCGCTTGGTAGACACGAACAACGTGTAAATATGTAACGAGTTCATTAAGCTGCCGGTCCGGCAAACTTTCGTGGCCGCTATAATGACGATCGCTGCTGTTAATTACGGTTTCACTGAATTTCCTCGATTAACCACGTTGCCCTCAGCTTCTTCTCGATATTCGCGCCTTTATGGCAAACATTGCACTAACAGCTTGATTAATGACAAATCGCAAATTACATTTCAAGAAAGCTAATTGTAAATATCGTTGAACCAAAAAAATGAAAGTTTGAAAATAAAGGGATTAACTAAATCATTTTGCATCATATTACGATCTATCATGTGTCTCTTTATTTATCGAAACGTAACATTTTCTTTTATTTGCGGAGCATGTACTTCTTTTGCTTTTATCAAAAGTTTAATATTTAGAAAGCAATGCTTTAGAAACATATGTGCCACATATTTACATCTACATCATCGTTAAATTTCATTTTACAATGATCATGTCCAGCTTCCGATTTCCAGTCTCAGATCAACGGGGAAAGCAAATGAGCTCTCCATCGAACGGTACAGCGCTCTGGGAAAATAACGTTCTATAGAATTTTTTTATCAACCTGCCGCGACCCAATCTCCAAAATTATGGCCAATGAAACGGTACGCGCGGTAACAAGAACAAAACCGCCACTTTACAGCGGTGGCAAGGGGACTCCGCTGCGACGGACGAATAGTGCAGAGCTCATCGCGTCTAACGAGTTCCCGCGACGCACATTGAATCCCACACGGCGAAACCGCGACACACAAATCCCACGGAGACGCTTATCCGCTGCGACGCGCATCGACACGAGAAGACGACGAATTTAATTTATTCGACCTCGTGCCCACACGCGCCTCGCGTACGATTCGTCCATCATTGGGTCAGACGTATCGCAGAGATTCAAAAGAGACTTTCTCTCGCTAATTGTCTAATTGACGTGGCCGTCTGCCCGCGGCCCCGAAACGACCGAAGAAAAGAGGACCTACAAAGGGTCGGGCCTGAGATACCAACCGGGCAATCAGTATCGGGTTTCTCCCTCTCGTTGTTCTTCTCCCGTTCCTTCTGTTTCAACGTGGACGTACAACAAATGGCTCTCTCGACTCCTATCGCGTCAACGCATTTGATAAGAGCCGAGGTCACCCGGTAACCAGTCAACAGATGCGGCCAATTGGACGACTTAATACTCTTACGACGCTAGGAGGGAGTATGCTATTGTAAGGCGTGCACTGTGAATTTTTATAATGCTGCATGAATGCATTATTGAATCAGTATAGTCCATAAAAGTTTAAGTACTTTAAATAACCTATTTTTGATATCTATAGATATAGTTTTGGGAATATTTTTGGGAATTTATATATCTTTTTAAAAAATATAAAATTTTTTATATTACGTAATTAAATTATCTCTAAAAATTTATAATTAAATAAGATATATATATATATATATATATATATATATATATATATAAGTTAAGATTAAATATATATGTATATATATATTTAAATATTTACCCAAAATTTATAATATTGTTACTGAAATTATACAATATGTATATATATAGATATAGTATATTTAATTATACTTAGCTTCTATACAATATTATGTAATATTAGTCTTTTTATAACTTGTTAATAACCGTTAAAAGTATCTGAGTGTTGTAAATAACTCATTACCTGTTGAATAATGCAGTAGCAGTATTTTACGATGTAGTTCTGACAATAAAGTTTCATGACCGACTAATTACTAGCTACACCTGTCTTTTAAAAAATTCGATTTATAAATATAGATCGATAAAATATAGATTGATAATACAATTCGTAATACTTTTTATAACTTCAGTTTTTATAAAAGCTAAGATTATACATAAAATAGATAAGACAATAAAAAGAGATTAGTTTAGTCGTTAATTTCATTAGAAAATTCTTTCATGAAAATACTGATATTGCACATAATGTCATACACGCGAATCTTTCTTGAAACCTTTTGCTTCTTTTCGGATTTTTTTCTATACATTCACAATTCAATTAATTATTAGATTAAACTTAATAAAATCTTCTAATTTTTAATCATCTATTAGTTAAGTTCAACCAACGTCGATTTTTGGGAGACA